GCTACTGAGTGATTTATTAAACTACTTCTTGATCCGTTGATAGTGTTTTAGTTCACTGCATAATTAAACAAAAATGAATATCCCACCTAGCCTCCGGGCCTCTCTAATTCTTATTCTATTACAAGAAACTCTTCAATGCTGCCGTTCAGCACCAGGTAATGGTTTTCTTTAATTTGTGATGTCATTGGTGCATTCGCTTTGATCCACAAAGACTGCGACTGACGGGGTGGTGACGACCAGAGGCCTAACTTTGGCCAGACTAACCTCGGAGCTATAGGTGACTACGGTGGCTAAGACAGGAAAACTCCAAAAAGGATTAGAGATAATGTTGGGACCCACACGACAGGTGAGAACGGTCCGTCGAAGTACACAACTAAGTAAGTATTGGTGCATACCATTAGAATGCTCCTCGATTTTCGCCAAAAGCCTTCGTTTTATGTTAAAGAATTTGGGACACAACTAACAGAAAATTAGTAGAAACTTGATGGAGCAACTTTCAGCAAATCCCGCCATTAATAGTAAATTTACGCGAGGTTGTCATCTGTTGTCGTGATTCGACGGGTTTCGTTTGCGAGGTCTTCACTTTTCTCAGAGCTTGGAGATGTTTCATGTCGCCCGTTTCATTCAATTGGTTAGATTCTCGCTTATATTAGTGAAGAGATAATGTACGAATCAATACCAACCTATTTCAATAAACAACCCACCGTTTCTGTTTTGATAGACTACCCTTGTATGGTTCATGTGGCCTGACGAGCAAAACTCAACCAGATCAAAAGATTGGTGGTGTGATGGCGAGACACCCACCTTTTCAATTCGTGTTTGAGTTTTGAAATCTAACCTGAGCGCTTCAACAGCTTTACTGTTGAGGTTTATGACTTTTGCACCAGGACTGTTACATCCACTTCAAAATCATGACCGCCGTGTCCTTGCTGTGTTCTGTGTGTACTTAGAGGGTATTCGTTGGGTTTTAAATTTTTCACCTGTATGCGTTATTTATACGGATAAAGAGGGTCTGCCCATTGCGCCAATGCATTCAACACTACATTTCTTCCATAAGAGAAGTACGGAATAAAGTGTAGTAACGTCATTAACTGTAAAGCGAATATGCAAGAAAACGTTCCTGCTCATCCTTGACCTACAAAAAGACGCAATAGTGAGAAATGAGTGGTGAAAGCTGCCTTCGGCGGAATTGAATTTTCCAACGGTAGTCCTTTAACAAATTAGGGTTTGTGAGTGCCTGTGGAGGGAGCCAACGAGCACTCTAGAACGGAAATCTCATGAATATAGCGTAGAAGTATTTAAATATACTCATCGTTATGCATTCGAAATTTGTATTTCCCTTCCGAAAGCCCACAAGGCCTTATTTAAATAAATCGATGAAAGTGAGTCAGAGCGGTTTTTTGTACTCCGGCGATACACCGATGACTCTTGTTATCGCATGGATGTGGTCCACCGCACTTAATCCCTTTCGAAACCCTGCTTGCTCCTTTATTTTCGACCACTCATACTGATGATGAGCCGAATGAAGGGTTTATAGGATAGAGATCAGGAAGACTTGGCGATAGCCACCGTTATCGTGGAATCTACTCTTTTTGAACAATAAAACTATCCTGCTGGCTACTACTACACTGAATCGAAACCTTTCTTTCTGAGAAATAACATGTGAACAGGCTGGCTAATGTGTCTATGATCGCCGGCGTGAAGATCCTTAGTCTGTTCGTGAATGGTTTTCAGGTCTTATCCACTCCGGACCAGTTGCTGTACGATTCCTCACCGACATAATACCACGTCAAGATTTGGAAAGGAGAACCTCTGGAAGGACATGGAATTTTTTCTTTAAGATCTTCTTTCATCTGCTTTATTTCGTATAAGGGCTGGGAGACGTAGCTGGTCGCTACATCTGAGCAGTAATCGTGAATGATTTCTTTTCACAGTCTTTTTGGAAGCCGCAACCGTCACTTGTGGGCGTCGAGGTGCAATAATCTTGGTCTCGAACCAGAATCTGCAGCTTCGGCTATAACTACTGCGTATCTCTCTTTAAAATCCGCTTTCATCTACTTTCTGCAATGTATTGCGAGCTCGGGCTTCAGTGGGAGGTTGTGTGTCCGTGCGGCTCTACGTTGGCGCATCAGATCGAGTGTTTTTGGAGATAGACGAGATAGACGTCTCTTAGTGACTTTGAAACTTCGATTTTTTCTTCAATAAGCAGACGCAAGGTTGTTATCATAGAATTTATTAGGATGCAATAACCGACGCTCCAGCGGTTTTGCTTTCTTAAGGAGCCATTTCTTTGTTGTAAGTATTTAAGTTAGTTGATGGGTAACAGCCGCGCAAAGTAACCTCATTCCGATCCAATGGCCTGACACAGGCACAGTCCTCGCCTATGTATTACTCTGTGCAGCTGCTACCCATCAACTAACTTAAATACTTACAACAAATAAACGGCTCTGAAGAAGGCCAAACCGCCGAGACGTCAGCTATTGTATCCTAATAAATTCTATGACAACAACCTCGTGTCTGCTTATTGAAGAAAAGCATGGAATTATCATTCAGTGCCGAGGTTGAAGGAAAGTCGGTAATGGGACCTTGAAACTCTCGGCTCTATTGTTGCTAATGTAAAAAGGTTGTATAAACTACAAATAAACCGAAGTGTAGGATAGTTTTGAAACTCAGTAGCTTTATCTGCTTTCCGCAAGAAGTGGAATCCTGTGACAAGGAGACGAAGGTCTGACTCAGTTTAGAATTTTGCAGCAACAGCGAATTTGGCTGCGGAAATTCTTTCTTTCAAATAACGTCTTCTCACTCCTTGCAGTGCTCTACACGGGCGAGTCCCGCGTCAAGCGTTAAGAGCAAGGTTTCTGGAATTGTGAATTGCCACTGAAATCTACAATGGCTATCACAAAGAGTATGAGGTCTTCTTTGTAAAACTTCTCCAATCATCGTGGATGGTAGAAGCCAAGAAACTGATTGAAAGGAGAAAATGCTGGAATCCGCGCAATATTTTTTAAAAGAGACCATATAAAAAATGCAAGAGGCGCATATTATTTTCGAGAGTGCACAGTGTGTTTTGCATGCCGCAGCATGAAATCCTATGAGGCTCAAACGATTTCATTGCCTAATTCAGCAAACTTCCAAAGTATTCAAAGTCAATCCTGTTGCCAGGTCGTTACTGACGGCCTGGTCGATAGAACTAGCTGAGAGACAGGCTAAACGAAGGATCCACATGGCGTGGTGGTGAACGCGTTGGCCCCAGGAAAGGATAACAGAGCGTTTGTTCCCCACTGCAAGCACCTGCAGTTCCGAATTTTGCAAATATCTCAGCATCACTGTGGTTGAGTCACGCATAGTAACCTGCCATGAAAATTGTAACTGGCGGCAAAATGAAAGGTTGATATTTCAAAGTAGTATTCGTTTCGATGACGAATGAGAGAACGCCTGATTCATTCATCGTTTTTTTTCTTCGGAAAACGAAGCTCCGCCTTACATGTTTATATACCAGTCATCACCGTGAAAGAGACAACTTGTAAAACAGTCGAATTTAAATGATGAAGCGTCTTCTCTCATTATTTGCTGTGTTTGTGTTGTTCATCGTCCAAACAGATGGCCAGTACTACGGTGGCTATCCATCTTATCGCTACGGATTTAACCCATACGGTGGATACCAACCACACGGCGGTTTTAGTCCATACGGCGGTTTTAACCCATACGGCGGTTTTAATCCATACGGCGGTTTTAATCCATACGGCGGTTTTAATCCATACGGTGGTTTTAATCCATATGGCGGTTCTAATCCATACGGCGGATACAATCCACACGGTGGCTTCGGCATTGCTGCCAATCGATTCGGAGGCGCCAATTACACCACAGCTTCGCCCACAGAAGGAAATGGCCTAGGTAACTGGCTGACCAACACTTTTGGCAACCGCACTTCTCAAAGTACGCAAGGTTGGTCATGTTAATCTTAAATTTCGATTTTTGCCACATACTTCTCTAATCGTTTACAGGCTCGTGGCACGGTGCTTTAAAAGAAGTAGCGGCTGGGGGATTGGGATTGCTTGCAACAGCTCTTGGGAGGAAGTGAAACACGATGATTCAAGCCAGTTTGTAAGAAGTGGAATGACTTTGTGCTCAATTACTTTGTTAGTATCATCCATAATTTATTCAGTGACGATTATATGTGATCGTTCTAATAAACTTCCTCCTTTCCCAGACGTGCTTTTTTTTTCCCCAATAACGCGAGTAGTTGATTTCCGCCTGTTCGTTGTAATCGCGTGACGTTATAGTCTGCTAACAAACAAACGGAATTTCTTAACTTAAGCACTTAATTCACGGCTGTTTAATTCCTGGAATTCTTCTTGTCATCGACAATGTCAGGATGTAGCACCTTCTATGGCGAATTAAGAACTAAAAAGCTACAATAAGATGCGGAAAGGTACATTTTGGAGTCATACTAAGAAAGGAACACGATGTATTTTTCGGCTTTGAGCTTCATGTATTCTATTAAATTTTAAGCCGAATGGGCGTCCTTTCTTAGTCATTTCAAATTTGAGTCTTTGAATAGAGGAAACTTTGCTACTCTATGATTCGGATCATGGTAGAACCTCAGAGAGTCCTGATATGGTAGCGAACTCCTCTCGATCAGTGAGCCAATTTCTCATGGCCGATGGAATAGGCCGAATTCATCTAGAGGGCCATTTCACATAAATACCTGAAGCATTGCATATAACCATTAGTTTGAAACAATGTTTGGAACACTGTATTTCCCGTATCACCCACACTTTTAAGCAATTACCGTCCTAAAATTCAAAAGTTCAAGTTTAGGAAGTTCTTACTAATTGAGTGACAGTGAAAGTCGCACTTCAAGCGAAATCGCTGGCCTAATGTGATCCCTTTCAACCCTCGGATTCATTGGCTGCTCCATGTTTGCGTTGTATCCTCATATGTAGAAAGCTGGGCGATTCAAACACCAGCGCCCGTAGCTTCATGAGCTCTATCAATTCCATAAATTCGTTGTTACTATTCACCACTTTATATGTGCAAATGATAGCACTCTGGAACATTCTTATCATCAGTTCGGTCAATGGTTTTTTTGAGTGGAAAGAATCCAGTTTGTGTCATTCTTCGTCACACAGCAAAAGTGACGTTACCGCTCAGGAGAAAATATGGTATGCAGAAGACGCCACATATTCATTTTAAGTGTTTAAACTGGGCATTACAGAGTGATTGACTCCCGCACCCCCGCTGGGTTAAACCATATGTTATGACTGCGACTAGATCTCTCACCGTTTCGCAAGATTCTTCGAGAACGTTAAGGCGCTCTAATAAACAATTTATGTTATTGTATGTATGTATTATTTCAAACAATTTATATTTTTGTCCAGTAATGCTAACGTTGTTTGGAATTATCTAAGAAAAAATGGCTAAGACTATTGGAAAAAAAGCTTAGAACTAAAGTCAGAACACTCGAAAAAGGAAAGCGCATATCCTCTTTGTGCTGCTTCGCTTAGAATTTGCCAGCGTGCTCAAAGTTACTCTATGTTTTATGTTGAGCTGTAGTTGTGAAAAGCACAGCCATCGGTTCCACAACGATCTAATTTTACTCCAAAGGGTAGTGCACTAAGAAATCTGTGTTAATGTGACTGCTTTTTGTGCAAGACAAATTACCTGTTTAATAGTCGTCCTGACCTTCTCGTTCTCTACCTGATTACACAATGAATTCTTCGTCGAATTCTAGAATCGAACACGAGCAACGTGGCCAGCGACCAAAAAAGATTGACGACCACTTTAGTTAACATAACTGGATTGTAAACGACTGTGTTGAACCAAGCGACATCATCAACTACGCAAAGATCACAGTCAAACGAGAAACTTCCACGTCTCGATACCATTTTTTTGTCTCTCCCAATCAAAAGATTTATTTTACTGGCCCTCTTATTGTTTGTTTCAAAGCTGCCCAGCTACACCACTGCTTTCTTTCAGCCATAGAGACATTTGGGTTCGCAGCGAGAACATTTTTATTTGCTTGTGTTGCGTTCGAAATTAGTATAACGGGTTTTCCTCTTTTGGTGGTGAAAAAGTGCACTTTACAAGCAGAATCTTTGCGGAAGTTCACCCTTTTGTCTGCACACATATAGTTAGTCGCTTGATGCTTCTCATAAAGTGTCCCCGAAATCACGAACGATATCCGCCTGATAGATGCGAGACTGCGCTTGTGATTCTCGCTTATAGTTGCGTGTCCTATGATCAAATCTGTTTATTTGACCAACAACAATGCTGAGAGCTTTGCTAAACTTAGACCCTGAGCCAGATCCAACCACGATTACCCTTTCTGAGGGCTCGCGTATTACACACTTCACCACTGACTCCCTTGCTTTCATTTTCTGTCATCTAGCTTCCTACCCAACGCTGCCATCGCTATAGTTATTTGTTTGAAGTACGTAATAGCATCATGTCACATCTCGGTGATGAGTTTATTGACGTCAACTACACTGCAATCTCTTAATTGCTTTCAACAGTGTCTACATTGCATGTGTATTTCGTTAGGACGCCGATCTGCCGATCCTTCTTGGAATGGCATAAACACATGAGCGGACCACTGCCTGGTGAGTCATTTAGCCTGCTGGGGTTCTGAGAAAGGTGCCGCGACTATCTCACTCTGATTTTTCCTCATTGGCACTTTTTTAGGAAAGCCTTTCATTACAATAAGCGTGAAACAGAAGAAATTCTTGAACGGCTGTGTTTTCCATGAGCGCACGCCAAATAAAAGTCAGCTTGATATGATCTCACTGAGATTCCCAAATTAACCAGTATTTCTTTAAAGTCAGTCGAATGAATGTATTTATCGACCTTGCATAAGATCAACAACTTAAATACATATTAACAACTATTCTTCGTTTAAACAATGCCTTCACCCGTTTGCACATCAGAAGCCACCACACCTAATTCTGTGTACTATCGCTTGAGATTGCCCCAATTTTTTGCCGCACATTGGGCGAGCTGAAAAATTTTTCCAAAAAACCAATCACGCCTTCCTCAAAGTTTATGTCGACTTGACTATTCAAAAATCTAGAACGGGAAGGAACAGCGATTTTAGATGCCTTGCTGTAATACACGGATATTCCGTGGCTCGACTTTGCAGCAAGACAACCTAACTTCTCTTACTTTCCAGGGTCGCCAACCTGCTGACCAGCTTCTTGGCAAAAAGCACTCTCTTAATCGCAAAGTTTGCTAAATTGCATTTGAAACCCTGGAGACATTACCACACAGTTATTCCAAGACTTCTGAAAAAATTAATTGAACTAATATTACTCGTATAACCTGTCAACCAGGTGATCATCGAGTGACTCGAGCATGCGCTAGCAAATCTTCCATTTCTTCCTTTCACGTGCAACAGTAGTTCAGTGGGCTCCGCTTGCCCTAGAAACTCATTGAACATCAGATGCTTCTTCTACGATTTTTGTGAAGAACTCTCACCATCGGGTCAATAGTCTTTCTGCAATAGGTATAATATCCTGAAAAATCCGGTCTCTAACGCCTCTTATCCATCAATTGTCGTTCATACGTTCGACGTGTCCGGCCCGTCTTAATTTCGGCAGATTGACACATAGAATGGTTTCTTTCAATCTTAGTCGTTGACGTAGATCGAAGTTTCGGATAACTTCCCTACCTTGCGTGATACAGGAGACTCCTGGCATCATCCTTTCCACTGCGCTTTCAGTGACGCCGAGTAATCTTTGATCTTGCTTATGTGGCCATCAGCATTTTGATGCATACACTATGGCACGAAAAATGGCTGAGTCGAAAAGGTGGGCACGATGTTCTTCTCATTGCACCATCAATGGGCTTAAAAGCTCCCCAAGCCTCCCGATTCATCCTGATCAACCTAGAAGTTAAGTCGCTCATCATGTTGATTTCGCGACATAGATGGCATTCGAACTAAAGCATTCGAAGTTTCGGAGAAGTTGGCTAGCATTTGATCCGCCTTGCGAAGGCTTCATCTTATAAGAAGTACTCCGTCAGCAGAATTAGGACAGTGCGGTTGTGGACCCGAGTTGCTCGTCGAGCATGAAAAGAAAATAAAAATGCACGGCTTGTCGATTGCGCGACTAATGACGCTCTTAAAACAGTGTCTTAGTTGTTCAATCTTTAGGTGGTCTGGAAAATATTTTGCACAAATTAGAGGGTCGGCGATGGGGCAGCGTTTAGCACCAAGCCTTGCCATCGCTTTCATGTCTAAGGTGGAAGCTCCAGTTCTCGATCACCGACCCTTACTCTACTGTCGATACATAGACGACTGCTTCATCGTCTGTTCCACACAAGAACAGATGGATGAGTGCTTTGAATTATTAAATCGACAGTCAGAGTATATAAAATTTACACGAGAAAAACCTACCGAGAACTCCATTCATCCATTCTTAAACATCCAAATAAAGCTCTCAGTAAGTGGCTATGTAACAAAATGGTATCGCAAGCCAAGTAGTAAAAACATTCTAGTTCACTGCCTCTCCTCTCATCCTTCACACATGAAAAAAGCACTTATCAAAAACGTGTACCGCAGGGCTAAAAATGTGTGTACAGGAGAAGAGGAAAGGAAGGAATCGCGAAACCTGGCACGAAAAATTGCCATTTCCAATGACTACGAAGTAGAAGCCACTCGGGTTAGAGGAAAACGTTGGGTAGTTTCCTAAAATAATATTTCAGACGACAGTAGGATCGCCTTTAAGCTGCCCTTCATATCAAATGAAGTAAGTAACGCCATTAAAAAGTGCTTAAGAAAAAGTGGTCTTAAAAATTATGTAACGATTATTGACATCCCACCCAACACCCTAGGCCGCCAGTTAGTTCGAAACCGTCTCTATGATCGTTTGTGCAGCTCAGAAAACTGTACGATCTGTCCCAACGAGTGAGACGGGGAATGCATGAGTTTAGATATAATATACTTGATCTCATGTAATGCATGCGGCAAGGAATATATCGGGGAAATGGGTAGACCACTTTGTGTCCGCATAAAAGAACATCTAGATGGGAAAGCTAAAATCCGTTTAAACACCCCTCTAGGTACGCATAGGGCACAAAAGCACA